TGAGCCTATGTTGAACACCAGTTCGAACAAAACTTGTTCTTTGGTGTTCGGGGCTAAAAGCTAATAAAGCTCATACCAAGCACTTGGTCTTCGTCCTTGCGCTTGTTCACTCCTTACAAAAGATCTCGTTCTTCCGACTTGGCTTGTCGGATGATGTCAGAGACGAACTTTCGCGAGTTCGCCCTCTGCCACGAGATCTGGAGGAGTACATCGAGCTTTGTAACGAGCTCGATGCACGAATCCGCGAGCGCCGTCAAGAGCGCCGAAGCACGCCTGCCCGCTACCGGTCTTCCCAGTTCGCCTTTGGTTCCGCCTCCGCTGCCGTTCCCGCCATCGCTCCCGCGCCCGTCCTCGCTCCGCCGCACCCCTCCTACATTGTTTCCGAGCCCATGCAAGTGGACTCTGCCGTCTCTGGACCCCTGACCGCCGAGGAGAAACAACGCCGCCGCCGCTTTGGACTCTGCCTGTACTGTGGCAAGAAGGGCCACTTGGTACGAAACTGCCCCGTCAAGTTTGGATCTACCAGAGCTACCGGACCGCCCCCTGGACCTCCCGGCCCGAGGATCATCCGCACCATCGTTTACGAAGATGGAGAAGTGCAAGACTTCAGTTCGGGAAACGACCAGGCCCGGTTCTAAGTGAAGGCCTTGAACCGGAGCCGTGCCCACCGCCTTCCGAAAGTGAAGACATTGGTAAGGTGCCTTTGGTAAGTACTGGGGAAGCAGTGATGTGCGGACAGCTTCGCCTTGCCTCTGGACCGGCGGACACTCTCAGCTCTGGCATAGTACCCGTGGCACCTCTGGTGTCACTGGGAACTGCACCTCATCCACAGGTGCAAATACCTGAGCTGTCCTGCCAACCCTCGGCAAAGTTAACTGTCTGTGCTAGCCGCAACCCTGGTGCCGAAGCTGGTACCGAACCAAAGTCTTGTGTTTCGTCTGTTCGTCGTTGCTCGTTGGTTGTTCCCGTCGCTGTTCGTCTTCCTTCTGGTGATTCTCTGTCGTGCGAAGGACTTGTCGATTCTGGTGCCTCTGGCAACTTTATCGACGAGGACTTTGTTGCTCGACACTCTGTCCCCACCTGCTCCAAGGCTTCGCCCTTGGCAGTGGAAGGCGTGGATGGTAAGCCGCTGTCGTCTGGCCCCATCCTCCGCGAGACTGCTCCACTCGAGGTGATTCTCGGGGACGTCTCGCAACGCCTTCGGTTCGATGTGATCAGGTCTCCACATCAACCACTTATCCTTGGCTTTCCTTGGTTGCGCACCGCCGAGCCCAAGATTGTCTGGTCTCGCGGTCTTCTTTGTCTCCCTCCTTCTGTTGATTCCGACCCCTCTCCATGCACTACTTCTCTTTCGTCTTGCTCCACTTCCTCCAATGTCACTCCCCTTCTTGATGATTCCACTCCTTTGATTGATCTAAGCTCCTCTCCTACGCTCCCACCTTCGTCTTCCCCTTCTTGTCTTGTTCCTCCCGAACCCCTTCGCTCTTCCCAAACCCCTTCTTCTGTTGTCAGTTCTCTTTCCCTCCTTGATGTACCTCCTCCTGTTGTTTGTTCTTCGGACATTGTTCAGAATAAAGTAACCGTCGAACATTATTCTGACCTTGTCCACGCCCCTCCTCTCAGCTCGGACGCTCCTCTCCGCGTCTGCAGCATTGATTACCGCTCGATGCGCGAGTCTTTGGATGCATGCAGGCATGGAACGCAACCCCTGACCATCTTTCAGGTCCATGTCCTGCCCACTGACGAGCCGAGCACTGCGACTGTCGAAGTGCCTGCGGAGTACAAGGACTTCCTGTCTGTTTTCTCTAAACAGGAAGCTGACTCCTTGCCTCCGCATCGCCCTTATGACTGCCCCATTGACTTGGAGCCGGGCAAGTCGCCAAAGTTCGGGCCTCTGTACTCACTGTCCGAGCCCGAACTTCACGCTCTGCGTGACTATCTCGACGAGAATCTTGCCAAGGGATTCGTTCGTCCTTCGTCGTCCCCAGCAGGCTCACCAATCCTCTTCGTCAAGAAGAAGGACGGCTCACTTCGTCTTTGCGTTGACTACCGCGCACTGAACGGTATCACGGTAAAGAACCGTTACCCTTTACCGCTGATCGGCGAGCTGCTGGACCGACTTCGAGGCGCGAAGGTGTTCACTAAGCTGGACCTTCGTGGAGCCTACAATCTGCTGCGCATCCGCTCCGGGGACGAGTGGAAGACAGCTTTCCGTACTCGATATGGGCACTTCGAGTACTTGGTGATGCCCTTTGGGCTCACCAACGCGCCAGCGACGTTCCAGCACTTCATCAACGACGTCCTGCGCACCGAGTTGGACCAGTTCGCAATTGCGTATCTTGACGATATCTTGATCTACAGTGCTGATCCGTCGCAGCATGTAGAGCACGTCAAGCAGGTCCTCTCGAAGCTCCGAGCTGCAAAGCTGTATTGCAAGCTGGAGAAGTGCGAGTTCTCCAAAACCTCGGTCTCGTTCCTTGGTTTCATGGTCTCGCCCGAGGGCATCGGTATGGAGCGATCCAAGCTCTCTGCGATCTTGGATTGGCCCATACCGCGCAACATCTCGGATCTTCGATCCTTTGTCGGGTTTGCGAACTTCTATCGACGCTTCATCGATGGATACGCAAAGATCGCGGGGCCCATGACTCGGCTCTTCCGGAAGACGCATGGCTTCCAGTGGTCCCGCGAAGCCGATAAAGCATTCAGATCCTTGAAGGATGCCTTCGTTTCGGAGCCCGTTCTGGTGCATCCGGACCCATCCAAGCCGTTCGTCGTAGAGTCAGATGCGTCGGACTTTGCGCTTGGATGCGTGCTCTCCCAGCGGGGTGCTGATGATCGCCTTCATCCTTGCTCGTTCCATTCGCGGACACTCTCGAATGCTGAACGTAACTACAGCATATACGAGAAAGAGCTGTTGGCGATCAAGGAGGCTTTCGAGGCGTGGCGACACTACCTCGAAGGCGCCCAGCATCCCGTTGCCGTTCTGACCGATCACAAGAACTTGGAGTACCTGGCAACGGCTCGCATCCTAAACCAGCGTCATGCACGGTGGTCCCAGTTCTTGTCTCGGTTCGACATCCGCATCCAGTACCGTCCTGGTGCGAGGAACGGCAAGGCCGATGCCCTGTCTCGTCGCTCGGACTACATCCCTTCGTCGGCCTCCGTGTCGAGGGATCCGCCTCTGCTTCTCGATCCTGCCGCGGTGATACGCGTGCTCCGAAGCAGAGACGCCCGCTCTTCGGTTGCAAGTCGCAGTGACCCTGTGGATTTGCTGCAGCTCATAGCCGAAGAGCAGGCTCGGGATCCCGGTCTAGACAAATACCGTCGTGACCCGAAGTTCGTCTGGAATGGCCAGTACCTCACCTTCCAGAACAGGATTGTGGTCCCAGAGTCGTGCCGAGTTCCGGCGCTCAAGTCGTGCCATGACCCAGTCGCTGTGGGTCATCCAGGCATCCGACGGACTCTGGCTCTGGTATCGCGACAGTTTTGGTGGCAAACCTATCGGAAAGATGTCAAAGAGTACGTCTCGACGTGCGACACCTGTGCACGCTCGAAAGCTCCGCGACACAAGCCGTTTGGGTTCCTGTTGCCACTCCAGACAGCCGATCGACCCTGGGGGACACTGACCATGGACTTTATCACTGATCTGCCAAAGTCCAAGGGTCACACCTGCATCTTTGTGGTGGTATGCAGCCTCACAAAGATGGCACACTTTATGTCCTGGCGTTCACTGCCGTCGGCGGAGGAGACTGCGTCACTGTTCCTCGACAATGTCTTTCGTCTCCATGGCCTCCCCGACACAGTGGTTTCAGACCGAGGAAGTCAGTTCACCTCTCGGTTCTGGAAGGCACTCTGCACGCAGCTCGGGATCCAAACCAGTCTGTCCACGGCCTTCCATCCCCAGACCGATGGACAGACTGAGAGGGTCAACCAGGTCATCAACCAATACCTGCGCTGTTACACGTCGTATCAGCAAGATGACTGGGCCGAGCTGCTGCCGTTGGCCGAGTTCTCTTACAATAACCTCGAGAACTCGTCAACACATGCCTCGCCATTCTTGGCAACCTATGGGTTCCACCCAAGGTTCGAAGTCCCCGTTGTCGCTGGCGGCCCTGATGTTCCCTCTGCCACGGAGAGGGTTGAACATCTCCAGCGGAACCTGGCACTGTTGAAGGAGAATCTTGAGAAGGCAAAGTCTGACTACAAGCACTTCTCAGATCTCCGGAGGTCCCAGGCTCCCGACTTGCGTCCGGGCGATCAAGTCTGGGTGCTGACTCGTAACATCAGCACCACTCGCCCAAGCAAGAAGCTGGATTACCAGAGGATTGGACCATTCACCATCCTCGAGGCCGTCGGGACATTGGCTTTCCGCCTGGACTTGCCAAAGGACATAAAGGTGCACCCGGTGTTCCATGTGTCTCTTCTTGAGCCCTACAAGAAGAACTCGCTTCCGGGTCGGGTGCAAGCGCCGCCCCCTGCGGTGGTCATCGATGGGAACTTGGAGTGGGAGGTCGAAGAGATCTTAGACTCCAAGTTCGTGCGCGGAAAGCTGCACTATCTCATCGATTGGAAAGGCTACCCGGTCACCGATCGAAGTTGGGAGCCCGCCGACATTGTCTTTGCCCCAACGGTGGCCGCGGAGTACCACCGACGCTACCCAGACAAGCCTGGCCCCAGGAGAACTCAAGATGGAACACGCCGTAGTTTAAGGAGGAGATAGTGTGATGACCAGCATCACAACGGACCAATGAGATTGTCCCGCATGCTCTCGCCCTCCGCACCAATCATGAGTCCCCACGTGTTTGTTTGCCCCCATGCATGAGCACGCGCCGTTGCCACCCGCGTCTACTGGTTTCCTGCCTCCCCCACCGCTCGGCACATGTCCCCGGGCTGTGCCAAGCCTCTCTCGCTTGCACACCAGCCACTCTCGCACCCCCTTCTCGCTTCTCTGTGATGCTCCACCCTTCTCGCCCACTTTTGCCCCTCGACCTTCTCCCGGTCTATAAATAGCCCTGCATGTCTGAGCCTATGTTGAACACCAGTTCGAACAAAACTTGTTCTTTGGTGTTCGGGGCTAAAAGCTAATAAAGCTCATACCAAGCACTTGGTCTTCGTCCTTGCGCTTGTTCACTCCTTACACAGACGGGGTTTGCATCGTTGAGGACTTCATGCATCATGATGGCGAAGGCAAAGACGTCGGTCTTCATGGTGGTACCGCTGGGGTCGTCTTCATCAAGCATCTCGGGCGCCATGTAACCATCGGTGCCGCCGTTCGGGCCATTGGATTTGCTCGGGTTCAACGAGGCAGAGGTGTGTTTGGTGCGGGACATGCCAAAGTCGGTGACGACGGCATTGTTCAAGCCGTCCAGGAGGACATTCGCTGCCTTGAGATCGCCGTGGATGATGCGGCGGCCATGAAGATAGGCCATTCCCGAGGCCACCTGGCGGAGCAAACGGAGCTTCTCCTCAAGAGGGACATGGGTATTGGGGTCGGACACATGGTTAAGGAGAGTGCCGTTGGGCATGAAAGGCGACACCATGAAGGGAGGAATCGGGTTACCATCCTCGTCCTGGTCGCAGGCACCGAGCAGAGGGAGGACATGTGGATAGCTGAGCTGCTTCCAGATGCTGATTTCATGGTTGTATTCAGCGAGCTGGCGTTTGTTGCAGGTGCCAAGGAGCTGCTTGATGGCGACCTTGGTACCAAAGTAGGAGCCAGTAAAGACCTCGCCAAAGCCACCGCGGCCGATGGGGTTGGCCGAGCGATCGGTAATGTCGCTGGGCGAGATGAACCAGGGCGGTCGCTCAGTGGGTTCGGGGCCAGTGGGAGCAAAGCCTTTGCTGGCCATGTCGCAGGATACAGCAAATGATGGGGGACAGGAGCAGAGTTGGAGGAAGCGAGCCTGGCAACGAAGGCGAAGTTGGGGACCCAAGCCACATGTAGTGTCACGGGGCGGGATAGCGTCCAACAAAATCAACACAAGAGCAGGCCCTTCAGCCAGTCGATCGTTCCGAAACGAACCGGGGGGACATGGAGTTGTGCCGGCATTGCTTCAGTGGATATCAAGGCTGCATACGACTTGGTCGACTGCTGGCCTCTCTAACCCCAAGCTCCGTGCTCTCTTTGGGATGTCCTGTCGGGATATGATCTGTATTGAGACATTCCTCCGAACGATGGCCCCACTCAAGGATCCAAGATTCTCTCGGCCGCTGGTCCAGAATTGGCAGGTCAGCCTTGTCCATATCCGATGTTGCTACCGGGTCGCCTCAATGGCCGCCTGGATCGAGAGCCGCAGTGTCTTGGACGAGGCTTCGAGAGTGCCTAGGCTGTCCTTGAGCGAGTCCAGCGGGCTCTGAGCGGCTCCGGGCGCCAGAGGATCCGCCAATGGACTTGTTTTCGACAGAAAAGCAATACCGGGATTTGCTCGGACGCTGCTATTGAACTCGTCGAGCGCCTGTCCCAGACCCCTTGCGCTGTCTGATTGAAGGAAACGGCATTAGCGACCTGCATTTGGCTGTGGAGCGTCCGAGACACACGCTCGCACTGTTGAATGGAGCAGCTGCGGCGGAGTGCATTGTACCTGGTACTGCCAGTGACTTGTCTGGTGCCGCCAGGGAACCGTCTCTGCCGATGTCGACAACCAAAGGAATCGAGTTGGATCAGCGCCGGCTCGATCGGGGCATTGGGTCCTGCTGGCATGCCATCGCACTCACATCTGGTCGATAAATGCATTTCCGAGCTGGCGCACAGCATGAAGCTGCTGCAGCGCTCCTGCGATGGACGCTGCCGACAGATCCTCCCGCTTGAGCGATGCCATGGCTGGATCAGACGAGCGGATCGGCCGAGCGAGCTGGACAAGCAAAGGAGCAGGCAACCAGCCGGCCAATCGGCGGCGGAATGGACATCGGTGCAGTCACGTGGTGCTGCCGCCAGCACATTGGTTTGCCGCCCAGAGCGCAAACCCGAACCTGGCCCCGAGCAAGACTGCCGATCTCCCGCAAGCAAAGCCAGCAACAGTCCCGGCCCGCAGCTCTAAAGGACAAGCGCATATCGAGATGTAGGATTCGCACAACATTCGAATATTGAGACGGGCACACAGCGCCGAGTGCACACAGCGCCGAGTGCACACAGCGCCGAGTGCACACAGGCCTCGCCCTTCCTGCTGGGTGGACTCATCGCCGTGACTCTCTCTCTCTGTAGGGGAAAGCTGTGTCAACTCGTGATGGGGCCCGCCGGCAGCGGCAAGGTAGATATCGGACGGAATCCATCGATTGAGTAGATGGATCCAAGCTGCTTTTCAAGGCGGAAGGCGCAGATGGCCAAGCACCTCTCCGTCAAGATCTTACCCAATAGCCAGCATCAGTAGCTCAGCGCCGATCGCACAGCCAAGATCATTGGGCTGGAGGGCATGATCAGGGTCATCCACCCACTTGCCGCTGATAGCTCACCAATACTCTGTACCTGACCTAGTCAACATACTGCTCGACGATGGTTGGCCACTGTGAATCGCTGGCAAGAGTCGTCCATCTAGTCAACCTCGATCCGGCGGCCGAAAAGTTCACCTACGAGCCAACGATTGGTGGGTTTGAGCCTCAACTGGCCGATATGTCATTCTGCGGCCATCTCTTTGTCTGTGGAGCTGTCGCTATTGCGGGAATCGTCTTGTCTGAGATCCCATCCAGCGATTTTCATTCCCGTTCATGCCTGTTTGCGTCGCACATACAGACATCCGCGATCTCATCACACTCGAAGATGTTGTAGAGGAGCTGCACTATGGACCCAACGGCGGCTTGATTTATTGCTTGGAGTAAGCGTGTCTGAACTCTCGCACTGCAACGGAAGAATCCGAGGCTGGGCTGTCCGCGCAAGCGGAATCTGGCCCCGAACGCACATTTTGATTCTCTCTCCCTGCCTTACATAGGTTTCTGATCAACAACATGGACTGGTTCGAAGAGGAGCTCAACAACTTTGACGACGACTATCTCATCATCGACTGTCCTGGTGCGTCTGCGTTGTCTCATGGTTCCGATCAGCATTGGGCTCTGGCCATCAAGGCAGCTGTAGCCGAACATGTGATGCATTGATCTGCAATCGGGCGCAGCTGCCCCAATCGACTGGATTTGCAGATATGGGAGACATCAAATTAACAGGACTGTCTGATACAGGTCAAATCGAGCTTTATACGCACTTCCCGATCATGAAGCGGCTTGTCGAAAACATGCAGCGCCTCGGCTATCGAGTGTGCGGTGTATACTGTCTCGACAGCCAGTTCATTGATGACATCCCAAAGTACTTTTCTGGAGTCCTGAGCGCCATGTCTGCGATGGTCCAACTCGAAATTCCTCACGTCAACGTCATGACCAAGATGGATTTGTTGGGCGACCGAGCACAGTCGTCGCGGATGGAAAGGTATGCTGGGCTGCGCTGTATTATGCGGCAATCTGTTCGGACAAAGTATCCTGCGACAAAAGGCAAAGCACTGATTCGAAGGAGCCACGAATGCCACAATGCAGATTCCTCGACCCCGATCCCAGCCTGCTGGCCGAGAGTGCCAATATAGAAACCCACTCCAAGTTCCACGGTCTCAATCTTGCACTCCTGCGCCTGGTGAGCCCTGCGGTTATTATGGTCGAGGACCGCGGCTATTGGTAACCTCTGGCGTGCCGCTCCTGACAGACGGCTCTGGTCCCCCGCAGATCGAAGAGTACAACATGGTTAGCTTCCTTCCGCTCAACATCAAGGAAGAGGAGTCGATATCGTTGGTCCTACAGCATATCGACAATGCGATCCAGTATGGCGAGGACATCGAGCCCAAAGAGCCCAAGGTGTGACAGCAGCCTTCGCTATGGAGATGCAATTGATGGCCTTTGGCCAAACGCAGCGAGTACTGATGGATACACAACACTTCTGTAGGACGACGCCGACCCCGAAGACGAGGAGGGCGATATTGAGTACTTTCAGTAGCATGTCACCGGGCCACTGGAACCAGTGTCAGGGAGATACAGCGCACACCGAAACGAGACTCTTTCTGAGTGCAGACGGCCACTTTTCGATGGACCCTGAATACACACCCATCTGCCATTCACACTCTCCAGCCAATGCGTCCAAGAATACGGGGCGCTGTCCCGTTTCGTTCTGAGCAAACTGTCGTTCATTATACACCGCACTGAACACACCGCACTGAACACACCGCACTGAACCGCACTGGACACATCAACCGCCTCAGCGCAACCGCAGCGATCGCATCCTGTCCCCCTCGGCTGCGTGCGAGCGCCCTGGTGCTCCGGCGACGGATTCTTGGAAACAGACCCCGACACGGCATCCGCCTGTCCCCTCACCCGTTCTCGCCGAGAGCCCAGCGAGAGGCCACTCTCGCCTCGCCGCCCTCGGCCGATCAAAGTCGTCCTTTCCCACCTCCCCGCATCGCTCTGCCCTTGGTGTTCTGCATGATCCTGCCGTCCCCAGCCCAGTTCCACAGCCGTCCGCTGAAGCCTCCCCTGTCCGTCGCCGGCCAGTCTTCTCCAACCACTCGTCCCTGCATCTGATTGCTGGTCCCTGGAGCCACGCCCCCCTCTCCGATATCCTTGCTGTCCCTCTCGGCCCCTCGCCCTCGATGACCTCCTCGGCTCCAGACCTTCCATCCCCAACCCCTCGACCACAGCCGCCCCTCCAGCAACAGCCGCTCCAACAAAGCCAGCAGCCGCAGCCTGGCATCGGAACCTATGTCTCTGTCACGACCCAAAACGATGTCACCTACGATGGACTAATCTACGTCTGGGATAGCCAGCTTGGGCTGCTCGTGCTCCAGTCGCTCTCGGCCGCCTTCAACCCCAACACGACCCTGACCTGCAAAAACGACTTCCACGTCATCAAAATCAACGGCATCAAGGACGTCAAGGTTGTCCCAAAGGACGACACTCCAAGCATTCTCCCCCCGCTTGTGCCGGTCACCACCGTCTCGATGGACAAGGCGCTTCAGCGAGAGCAGCTGAATCTCCGGCTGGAGAAGGAGCGACAGCTCAAGGTCGGCGTGAATGTGACTCCCGAAGCCCAGGTAGGCCAAGAGCGAATTCGAAAACAGCGCCTCCAGATCCAGAATCGGGCTCGGGCGTGGCCGATCGAGGCGATGCCGGATCTGGGGGGTCGTTGACCCGTGTTTCGAGCTCCCTCCCCCGAGATCTTCTGGGGAGACTAGATCAAGTAGCGACTCTTTGAGTCAGAGCTGCCGGCCATCGGAATCCGATCGTCTCGTGCTAAGCGATCGTTGTGCTCGCCCGAAACCCACGGTATACCCGGCCGGAATCGTAACCCCGTTTGCGTGTCTCTCTTGCCGCTCACAGCAAATCTTCGATGCCTTTGCCAAAACATACCCGACAACATGGAGGAATGACACCATCGTTGTGATGGACGAGGTTCTGATTGTCCCACCCTACGACACCTCGAGCTGCAAGCCCAAGGACAAAAGAACCGACGACAACATGGTCGCCCGAGTCCGGAAAGTGCTTGAGGGCGAGCGAAGAAAGCTGGGACTATGAGCAATCTGCAGCATCACCGTGCTCCTGCCCTCCGACAAGCTTCTTGTATCATCGACGCGGAATATACTGCACTCCACTTCGGCAAAGGGCATTTGCTGCCACTCTCAAGCGACGACCTGCATCCTGTATCCTGCATCCTGTATCCTGCATCTCAGCCCGACGCTCCGTCGAGTCGGTCGCTGGCTCGGAGGATAGCACTCGTGCTCCCACACTGCCCAGCGAGCGGGTGTGACCATTGTCTCGATGCCGAGATTATGAAATGGGGGTTGTGGAATGAGAGGCGGCGACTATGGGCCGCGCTCATGACTTGATCTCTGGGCTCTTGGATTCGCCTTGAAGGGCCTTCATGTCTTCCTCGACCTTCTTCAAGAGGATCTGGTAGTTTTCGATCTCCATTTCGATCTTGTCGTTCGCCTCGGCAATCTTGCGCAGCTCGATCTTTTCCATCTCGGGCGCTGGCGACGGCAGCGGTGATCCCGTGTATGTGGAGTATATCAGAAGAGTGTGTCAGCGGCACGGGAATCGAGTCTTGTATCGAATCTTGTATCAAATCTTGTATCGAATCCTGTATCGAATCTTGTATCGAACCCAGGAGGCCAGCCGCTCGGAATCCAAACTGCCCATGTCGCAAGCGCTGTGATGCAGCTGTGCTCGCTACTTACTGAAGCTGGCTGAGCCTTTCTTGAAAATGCCCTGGCCGCTCTTGCTCAGGACCTCAAACGTCTCCTCGAGTGGGTCCTGGATGACCTGTTGGCCCAACCGAGGCATCGCCGCCGTCAGCATCAGCGTCATGACCGCGAGCACGGACAGGAGGAGATGGGCAGTGCTGAGGGCGACGAAACCATCGCCGTGGATCTTACAATCACTTCAAAGTTCTCGACAATCACAGGTTTCTTGGGTCCGGCCGTTTCATCCTTGTGGTAGAGCTGGAGCGGGTGGAAGAAGGTGATGGGCTTTTCTGGCTTCTCGGTTGCGTCGTGGAAGAAGATCTTGATGGCGATCTCAAACTCACCCCAGCCGGTCTCGGTGATCTCGAAGGGAGGCGATTCGAGAGCTGGCCAAAGCGTTTTGGAGTGTCAGTCGAGTCGGGTTCCCCGGCCCAGAGGGCATGCGTTAGAAAGCGATGTTGGGAAAATCTGTTCCATGGGTCAAATCTCATCACAACTTGAGAGGAAAGATGGCTGACGACGGGCTTGAAAAGCATGGGCTGGTGAATCTGCCCAGGCTCTGTTTAAGCAGGGCTCTGGTTGCCGCACTGCCTGACTTACACCGGACTGGCGGATCAAAGCTCTCGTGCAGCTTGAACTGGACTTTCTTCACAAACGTCGAAATGTCCTCGCCGTAGGGCCCCCGGACAAAGACCGTCCACCGATGGGTATGGTCCTCGGGTGCATCTGGGGTTTCCTTGCGGTTGATCAGCGTGGCCTGGGTGCCGTAAACGAGCGGGCGCTCGAGGGTAACCCCCTGATGTGCGAACAGTTGGCGATCAGCAATCGGCGATGGGCAATCGGCGATCAGCAACTTCCATGAACGAGACGACAGAGCAAGGTCTGGATCGAAAGAGATGTAGCGGGGGGGGGGCACGCTCACTTTCATGCGGGTGCTCATTATGGCTCCGGCTCCAGGATGAGCGGGTGGGTCCGGGCAGGGTTGATGGTGGTCGAAATGGGTCTGGGCAGCAGCAAGGACGGGTCGCTGTGACAAAATACCCTGACGCTGAACAGGATACTTCTGAGCGCAGATGACGACTTTTCACAGGACTTGAATCCAACACCCATCGGCCACTCACAATGCCCAGCCTCCCCCCCCCCAAGAGGCGGGGTGCTCACCCGTTTTGTTCTGAACAGCGTGTTGAAAAGACAATATGGCATTCATTTCTTCCAGACAAACGCAGGTTTCAAAACGGACACCCGGTTAATATAGGAGTCCCACGGCCATAGCATCGCCCATCTTGTCCAAGACGACGCCCCTCGACTCGTCCGGGTCGATCCAGATCAGGGCGGCCCGTGCAAAGGTAAAGATGCTGAGATAGACGACCAACGGCAGGGCAGCTGCAGCGCAACCAAGGGTCGTCCAGATCAGTCCCGGCCACATTGGCAGATCGGTTGTTTCGACAGCCAGATACCCGCTGGGCTTCAACCACCACTCCCACAGAGTCAGCAACAGCACCGGCGACGAAATCCGCCAGATGCGGCTCATGCCGAGCAGCCGCTCCCGCCCCTCTTGCTTGTACGTCGACAGATAGCCTGGCGAGGGATCGTTCGGCGGTCGTTCGATCACGATGCAGTCCGTCATCTTGGCTTCGAGTTCCCAAAACCAGGTCGTTATCGAATGCCGGCGCTGATACAGGAGCACCCACCACAGAATGAACGGAATCCAGCCCATCCGGAGCCCGGCCGCAAACGAGGCTCCGGGGCCGTAGCGTTTGGAGTTGAGGATCCACGCCGGAAGGAGCATCGTTGCATTCAGGAGATAGAGGCCGTGCAGATAGAGCAGGCGCTCGAGCCGCGGGGCCCAAAAGTGGCTCAGGAGTACGGCCAGCAGGAACAGCGCCTGGAACCAGGCTGTAAAATGGATGAATGTAGGCGGAGACGTCGGATGCAGGACGCATGTTGTGTTTTCCAGCAGCGAGAGCAGCCCAGCGGAGCCGGAGCCGGTGCCGGTGCCGTTGGGAGTCGAGGTATTGTCAAAGAGATAAAAGTCGCGGCGTGGGTAGGAGCTCCGAGGGCACCACCACAGGACCCGATAGACGGCATTGTAGATTAAGTAGATGTGGATGCAGAAGGAGGTGATGTTGTTGTAAGGAGTGAACAAGCGCAAGGACGAAGACCAAGTGCTTGGTATGAGCTTTATTAGCTTTTAGCCCCGAACACCAAAGAACAAGTTTTGTTCGAACTGGTGTTCAACATAGGCTCAGACATGCAGGGCTATTTATAGACCGGGAGAAGGTCGAGGGGCAAAAGTGGGCGAGAAGGGTGGAGCATCACAGAGAAGCGAGAAGGGGGTGCGAGAGTGGCTGGTGTGCAAGCGAGAGAGGCTTGGCACAGCCCGGGGACATGTGCCGAGCGGTGGGGGAGGCAGGAAACCAGTAGACGCGGGTGGCAACGGCGCGTGCTCATGCATGGGGGCAAACAAACACGTGGGGACTCATGATTGGTGCGGAGGGCGAGAGCATGCGGGACAATCTCATTGGTCCGTTGTGATGCTGGTCATCACACTATCTCCTCCTTAAACTACGGCGTGTTCCATCTTGAGTTCTCCTGGGGCCAGGCTTGTCTGGGTAGCGTCGGTGGTACTCCGCGGCCACCGTTGGGGCAAAGACAATGTCGGCGGGCTCCCAACTTCGATCGGTGACCGGGTAGCCTTTCCAATCGATGAGATAGTGCAGCTTTCCGCGCACGAACTTGGAGTCTAAGATCTCTTCGACCTCCCACTCCAAGTTCCCATCGATGACCACCGCAGGGGGCGGCGCTTGCACCCGACCCGGAAGCGAGTTCTTCTTGTAGGGCTCAAGAAGAGACACATGGAACACCGGGTGCACCTTTATGTCCTTTGGCAAGTCCAGGCGGAAAGCCAATGTCCCGACGGCCTCGAGGATGGTGAATGGTCCAATCCTCTGGTAATCCAGCTTCTTGCTTGGGCGAGTGGTGCTGATGTTACGAGTCAGCACCCAGACTTGATCGCCCGGACGCAAGTCGGGAGCCTGGGACCTCCGGAGATCTGAGAAGTGCTTGTAGTCAGACTTTGCCTTCTCAAGATTCTCCTTCAACAGTGCCAGGTTCCGCTGGAGATGTTCAACCCTCTCCGTGGCAGAGGGAACATCAGGGCCGCCAGCGACAACGGGGACTTCGAACCTTGGGTGGAACCCATAGGTTGCCAAGAATGGCGAGGCATGTGTTGACGAGTTCTCGAGGTTATTGTAAGAGAACTCGGCCAACGGCAGCAGCTCGGCCCAGTCATCTTGCTGATACGACGTGTAACAGCGCAGGTATTGGTTGATGACCTGGTTGACCCTCTCAGTCTGTCCATCGGTCTGGGGATGGAAGGCCGTGGACAGACTGGTTTGGATCCCGAGCTGCGTGCAGAGTGCCTTCCAGAACCGAGAGGTGAACTGACTTCCTCGGTCTGAAACCACTGTGTCGGGGAGGCCATGGAGACGAAAGACATTGTCGAGGAACAGTGACGCAGTCTCCTCCGCCGACGGCAGTGAACGCCAGGACATAAAGTGTGCCATCTTTGTGAGGCTGCATACCACCACAAAGATGCAGGTGTGACCCTTGGACTTTGGCAGATCAGTGATAAAGTCCATGGTCAGTGTCCCCCAGGGTCGATGTTAGGGATAGCTCCTGCTTGTTCTCCACTTTAACTGCACACTTGACTATTCTTTTGCCTTTCTGTTTGTTTGTGTGTAGCCTTGCAGTTCCCCTCCGATTTTCCGCCTTTTACCTGTCTTTTCCGCTCCTTCCGCACTTCCGTTTTCCCGTGCTGCTCCGCTTCCTTTGTCTTCTTCGCACGCGCCGGTTTGTTTGTGCACGCGCCTTGCTGCGATTGGTTGCAATTCGGCTGCCGGTCATGTGTCCCCCCACCGGTGACTCATGACCTGCCTGACCGCCCCGATCTCTTGTTCATCTCGCATGCATTTGCCCCAACCTTATACTTGACCAATCCGCTTCTTGGACGTTGAGTCACATTGCTTCGCCTTTGCACGTTTCTCCTGCCAGGTGTTTCGCTTTTGCTTGCGCCTCTCTCGCTTTGGTTCTCTGCCTGTCTCGGTGGTCCTTCTCGGCCCTCGTTCGTGCATCGCCCCCTTCGCCCTGCTCGATCGCCCACTTTTCCCTCCCTTGGCCGCCCTTCGCTGCCAAGTCCGGACTTGTCTATAAATAGCCTGACCCCCGCGATGTGTAGTCGAACCTTAGCGTTCAAAATAGGACTAAATAAAGTGCCTTCTACTTTATTCTCTGAGTGTTCCTCACGTCTCATTTCGAGACAAGTCTTATCTTGAACGGATCTTTGCTTCCCTCGCTCCCTCTCCGAGTCCACTTCGGACTCTACCCTTGCTTTCCCTGAGCTCACTTCGAGCTCACTTCTTCTTTTGCCGTTGAGTCCCCTTTGGACTCTAACATCATTTTGAACGCTCCCTCTTGGCTTCCCGGCCTTTCTTCTTCTTTCGCCTCTCTTTCCCTCGTCGATCCGATGGCTGAGCCTGCTGCACCCCCGGCAGATCTCAATGCGTACCTGGCGCGCATGGAGGAGCGTATGAACGCCCTCATGACCCAGAACGCTGCTCTCCATCGTCAGATCCAAGATCTGCAAGCTCCCGCCGCCGCTCCCCGCCAGGTCTACCAGGTGAACAAGCCCAAGGAGTTCCTAGGTTCCCGCGACGAGACGACGGCCTTCCTCGCCCAGTGCCACCTCGTCTTCCTCGCCGATCCTGCCTTCTTTGCGCCCGAGCGCCAGAAGGTCCTTTATGCCACCTCCTTCCTCCGCGGCGAAGCTTTCAAATGGTACGAGGCCGCCTTTTATATGGCCAACCGCTTCCCGGCTTCCTTCGCGGATTTTGAAGTTGCCCTCAAGTCGACCTTCGGTGAGGACACGGCCTCCTCGCAAGATAAGGCCTTGAACGACCTCAAACGCTTGGTCCAGCTCAAGTCCTGCCAAGCCTTCGCCACCCGCTTCGTCCAGCTCGCCGCCCGCGTCCAGACTGACGAACCCACCAAGATGCACTTCTTCAAGGAGGGTTTGAAGTCTGAGGTCAAGTTCCACCTCATCGGTCTCCGCCCCGCTCCCGCTTCCTTGCCCGAGTTGATCAAGGCAGCGGTCGAGTACGACGATGCCCTCCATCGTCTCAAGGTCTCCTCCCGTTCCCAACCTCCTCCTCCTTCTTCTCGCTCTGCTCCCCATCACCACCATTCTCCCGCGCATGTTTCTTCTTCCTCCTCTTCTGCACCCACTCCCATGGACCTTGACTCTGTCTCGGTCCGCCCTGCTAAGCTCTCCGACGTCGAGAAAAAGCGACGTCGTGAGCAGGGTCTCTGCTTGTACTGCGGGGAAAAGTCTTGTCCCGGCAGTCGCGATGTTCAGCAGTGCCCGGTTCTGGTCAAACGGAACTCGGGAAATGCTCACAGCCGAGCAGCACCTCGCAAGTAAGCGAGGTGGTCTGTTCGGCGATACGAACATCTTCCCCCTCTGACTCGTCACTATCGGACGATAAGCTTCTTCTTCCGGCCACTCTTATCGTCATGAGTCTTTCTGGCCCGGTCTCCATCTCCCTTTCTGTTTTTATTGATGATGGATGTTCCGCTCTTGCCCTCATTGATCCTGCCTTTGCCGATCTCCATAAACTCTCTCTTATCCCTCTTTCTACTCCTTACTCCGTTTCCCTTGCTGATGGTTCTTCGGCCGGTTTCATTCGTTTCCAAACCGCGCCTTTGACTCTGACCATTGGTTCCCACACCGAGTCGATTTCTTTTCTTGTGACTCGACTCTCCACCACTCCCATCACTCTTGGTCTTCCCTGGATGCGCTTGCATAATCCAGTTGTTAATTGGAAGTCCCTCTCCCTTTCATTCTCCGATCCCTCTTGCCTTGCTGATGGACACATCCTCGCG